AACATTTTTAAATCCAAGCTGACATTCTTGAAGTTTTGATATTCCAACAATATTACAAACCCTAACTATATAACACAATAACAATGAAACAGAAAAACTGAACATTTGGACTGTATTTCATAAGAAAATATTATCTTTGGTTTCCCAAATACTGATAGAAAGTAAAATAAAAATATTTTTTATTTCAATAAGAATTTTTCCTTCAGTAATATGTGATTAGATCAGTTTTGGATAAATCACAAAACAAGTCCTGGTATCAGACCACTACAAAGCAAAGACAATAGCCATGTGCATTAAAGTCCAGATCAACCCTAGGATTCACTGGGGGAAAAAAAAATCACCATTGTCACATGTAAGAGTATATAAGGCCATGGGTCTACAAATTTCTCTAGGAGACAATGAGATACCAACTACCAAAGGGTCCTCTTATGTAGCCCATTTAAAAAAATTTTTTCAAAGAATGGCAGAAGGGTTTTACCAATAAATTTCCCAAATATAAGTTGCAACGTTTGCTAAGAATTCTGATTCACACTAGGTTACTGCAATGATATATAAATAACTATTGACTTCCTATACTTTAAAGGCTTGTAGATATCATATTGTATATAAAAAATTGTATGAGAAGTAGTACTGTCTGTTCAGGCTATCCAACAATGGATGGTGTGCTTAAGAAATACAAATGAAGCTATAATACCCCCAAGCTTGGATGAAATTTTATAAATACCAAATTATCCTATTAGATACTGTGATATCCAAATTTGGATCAACTAAGTCCTGAGGAAAATCACATTTTTAAAAATTCATTTCGCTACTGGAAAGAGATGACTTTGGAGGAAGAAACTGACTTTGGAAAAGAGATAGCATGGTGGCACTTCATTGACTAGAGGTTAGGGGACAGGCTAGAAAGGAGACTCCGCCCAAAAAGGAAACAGAAGCAAGAAATCTGCTGTGATACTCACAAACAGAACACTCCCCTGTTACCAAAGGTATCTAAGCGACACGTCAAACGAAACAGAATCAGCCAGCACCTCGCATGAGGTGAAGGATGTCATCCTCTACTTTTCCCTAGGTAGCTTGCCAGCATCTCTTTCCAGGCATGATGAATCAATAGAAAGCATGACTTGTCTACAGAGCAGCTTTGGTATCTAGAAGGAAGTAGGTTATGGAGTAGTAGAAATCAAAGAATGAAATATGCATATCGAGCCCTAAGTGAAGGTAAGCAAAAAGAAAGCTTGAATTTCAAAATAGTTTGTTTTCCAAAAATAAGGTGGGGATCACATACTGTATAGCAATAAATCATTACACAGAAATTATCAATTCTTTATGAGATTTGTTTTCCTTTCTTCCTACAACATTCAAAGTAATTCAAGCAGTGAAAGGATATATTGAAAATATACAACACTATGCAAGTTATACATTTAAAAATACAATACTTCTAAACAATAAAAAAAAATACAAAGAATATTTTCTTTTCCTTTTTTTTTGAAAGATGACTGGTAAGGGGATCTTAACCCTTGACTTGGTGTTGTCAGCACCACGCTCTCCCAAGTGAGCCACGGGCCAGCCCTATATTTCTTTTCTAATACATCAGGAAATAAGAAACTATCATTTATTTTTCAAAAATAAAGAGGTTTTCCCATATCTTTTTGGTTAGAGAATGACAAATCCAAGAAGACTGACGCTTTCATCTTTGAAAGTTTGCAGTGAATACAATCATCCCCTGATTTTAAAAATTAACTTAAAATCGATATTAAAGGTTCCACTAAACCATGAATATATTGTGTTTTCTATATACACCCATACAAGGTTCTTGTGACTATAAAATATTTTAATTAAGTTATTTTTTCTGTTATCAGGAAGTAATATGAGTCTGAAAACAAATTCCTAAAATAAATGGTAATTGCATCTATTGGCTCTTTCATACTATTAGAAACTTTTTTCCTCATTCTAAATATCCTTCAGTGTACTATCATGATGATGATTTAGAAACTAATACTCTTGTGTAGAACTTTCACTCTCTATCAAGGTTAACAAGACCAAAAGTATTCCTTTAAAGCTAGAAGTACAAATATTAAACTGATATTTAAAACAAAAACAAGAAAAATTGAACTTAAAAACCAAACAGAAAAAAAAGTATCTTTTGTATTAACAAATTACTGATTATATTAAATACATTAGAAATAAATCAAATGGGCCGGCCCGTGGCTCACTCGGGAGAGTATGGTTCTGTTGACACCAAGACCCCGGGTTCAGATCCCATATAGGGATGGCCGGTTCGCTCACTGGCTGAGCGTGGTGCTGACAACACCAAGTCAAGGGTTAAGATCCTTTTAAAAAAAAAAAAAGAAAGAAGTCAAATGGAAATGTTTAAACACATCTTTATATGTTTACATGGTGAAAGCTCACAGTTATTATTCAAGGTATTTTATTCTAACTATACTGGGCAGTAAGACAGAATTATGGTTATGGCGCCCTCTGCTGGGATTTCTAATCACAAATTCACCCAATTTAAACTTTCAGTGTAAAAATAATATTTTTGAGGCATCAAGTGAAAAATCACTTTTTCAATCCACAATCACTTTACACCCAAGGTTATATAACAGTTACAATCAATATTTACCTTATTAGAACAGGACTTTACCAATTTATCATTTAATGAAACCAGTATCGATTTTTCCTATAAAATAAAAAGAATATAAAAGGCACACCGAAAAACATATTTTAATAGGTCTTACTTTTGTCCCCACTTCCATCACTTGGCAATATACTCAGGTTTTTAAAACCACATTTATAACAACACATTTTAAAAAATTACTATTTTGGTAATTTTATCTAAATTTCCTTCTTTGTTATTTCAATCAAAATAGTTTAAGACATCAGAATAATAGTTAATAAGATTATCTTCTTTATTAGAAAAAAACTGAAAGAAGTTTTAGGGGTACTCATTACCAGTAATAATTAATAAATAACTTCTATACTGTGTCAACTCTAAGGCACATAGTATGTTATACATTTTCTATACATTATATCTAGTCCTAGGAGATGGAAAAAAACAAGGCTTATGGGGATGATATACACTGCTCAAGGTGAATTTCAGAGCCAAAATTCAAATATAGGTGGGTCTCCTTCCAAAATCTCAAACATTTCTACCACACAACAGACAGCAGCAAAAAAAATACCAGTAACATGTAATCTCTCCATTTGCTAATCCAACAACAATTGTGGGGGGAGAGGAGGGGACAAGTCAGTGAATGTGAAGAAAATTTAGAGAAGGACAAGATAGTTATTCATGTCTAAAATAATAATTTAGACCTTTAGGAAATTATTTTTATTTTACATAATGCTGTCAGCTAGTGACCCTATTTCATACTGGGTCACTGGGGACAGTACTTAACTTTTATGTTACTGAATCAAAAATTCTGTATTTAACATTCTAGGATCATATTCTGAAATTATGTATGCATAAGCCTGACTTAATGATATTTAACATTTCCCCCAAACTAAAGGCGAAATGAAAATGTCTCCTCAACCACCATTAGCATCCCTTTCCCAGTACTTGCCTAGCCCAAAATAAAAATATGAGACATGTCTAAGAATTCAGTAAGTGCCAACATGTTGAAACTAAAAGATATACCTGTCACTGCCCATGAAAAAGAAACCCACATTATATTAAATACTTTAGGATAATTTCAGGATATTTATAGATTCCTTAGTGACAAAATACATAAATATTTTTCTATAAAATCAAAAGCTTGTCATGATGTGGGCACAGGAACAAAAGTATTGCCTGAGTATTACTGGACATTATTCTATGCAAATCCATGCATTTGATAAAGCTCTACTGTTAGCAACATACATTATTTAAATTCAGACAATAAGTAATTACAATTCTGAAATCTCTTTTAAGAAAGAAAGTACTATTTTTAAATTTAAAATGGTCATATTTCACTGGTAATTCACTATCTTAAGAGAAATATTCCGCTCAAAAACATAAAGGACTACACAGCTCCTACCATGTATGTTATTGAACTCAGTGACAGAAAGGTATTCTTGACTGATTTCTTTCATCACATGAAATTAATTTTAAGAATTATTTGAGAGATTTTCTTTGTGGAGAAGTCTATCATTACTTAATCAGAGATCAGATGAAAAGTCAATATATTCTATAATATTATAATACTGCATCAAACAAAAACATTCTGATATTAAAGTATATTAGCATCAAGATAAACATGTTCTGGGTTTATTCTGCAGTGAAAGTACGAAGAAGCAGGGAGTGGCAAAGAAAGCATCCAAAACAGAGCAAAGAAGGAAGAAACAACCCCCTTGTTGGATTAACTGAGGTCAAAATGGAAACAAGAAACAAAAAGAACATTACCGAAGAGTCCAGTTTTTCTTCTGACCTATATTTTGTAACACACACACACCTATAAAGTGTGAAAACTGCCAAATCCCATTTAGTTGGTGCATCTTACATATGATGCTTATTTTGCAGCTAGACAATAGAGTTTCTACTTTATATACATATACACACAAACTTTAGTGAGCATAATAAATATTAATAAAAAATTGTTTAAAACCGGGGCCAGCCCGTGGCTCACTCGGGAGAGTGTGGTGCTGATAACACCAAGGCCACGGGTTCGGATCCCACATAGGGATGGCTGGTTGGCTCACTGGGTGAGCGTGGTGCTGACAACACCAAGTCAAGGGTTAAGATCCCCTTACCGGTCATCTTTAAAAAAAAAAAATTGTTTAAAACCGGGGCCAGCCCGTGGCTCACTCGGGAGAGTGTGGTGCTGATAACACCAAGGCCACGGGTTCGGATCCCACATAGGGATGGCTGGTTGGCTCACTGGGTGAGCGTGGTGCTGACAACACCAAGTCAAGGGTTAAGATCCCCTTACCGGTCATCTTTAAAAAAAAAAAATTGTTTAAAACCAACTACAATTTCACTTTTAAAAACATTAAATATATTTCTATAGAGTGAGCATATAACTTACAAATATTTCCTGTATTGTCAAAGCTGGTAAGAACATCTTCAACATTCAAGGATCCACTATTATGCCTAGAAAGGAATAAAGAATTTTCTTAAATGATTCTGAAATATTAACATTTTTTAATTTTTCAAAAAGCTGAGCACAAAAAAAGAAAAAAAAAATCTAAGACTGTGTACTGTGATACACCCAGTACTGATAAACCCTTCCATGTTACATTTTTAAAATATTTCTGCCCACTAGAGGGAGAAGGAAAAGAAATAACAGAATATAGTCCTCAGAATATATAATAAAATGACATTTCTTGATGATTAATCTACAACTTAAAGTAGAATTTTTTTTTTTTTTTTTTCTTTTTTTCCTTTTTGTGTCTTTTTTCATGTCCGGCAACGGATCGCAACCCTCAGTGTCGCGCCTGTACTGGACCGGACTGGCAACGGGATCGCAACCCTCAGTGTCGCGCCCGCACCTCGCTCAGCCAGTGAGCGGGAACCGGTCTGTATGTGGGATCCGAACCCTCGGCGGGAGCGCCACCGCGCTCCCAAGCGGCGCACTGTAGCAGTGCGCCACCGGGCCTGCCCCTAAAGTAGATTTTTTAATTGCTGTGTTAGTTACATAAAGGTGAGGTAAGTTCTTAACCTTTTTGAAGACAAAAAAAAAACCTATAAATTACACTTAGGGAATCTTCGTGTCAAAAGAAAAATAAACAATCACCCTCCAGAACCACATTCGACAGTACATAAATTTCCTATATGACAGTGCAATAAATTCAGAACTTCAGTCACAAAGAACTAACCAACGTTCAGGTCTGCCCACTCTATTACAAGCAGTTCTAAATATCAGTGAGCAAATTTTTTTCCATCTTTTGCCCACCAATCTTAATTTTACCTACACCTTTTAATTCTAATCCCTCTTTACAGCTATTTAAATATTTCACTTGATACTGATATTTTATTAATACTAAAATACTATTCTTCATATACAAATGGAGCCTACTGTCAATAGGTCATAGAGTTTGGGTTACTTTTCTAGCAGTGTTAAAAAAAAAAAGTGGTGCTAATCCATCTACAATCTTCTACATTCTCCCCCATGTAATTTACAGCTGTAGTTCTTTAGAATGTTATAAGTTTATAAAAATTGATAATGCACAAAAAATTTTACTATATCAGCATTACTTTAAAACTTATAAATTATATATAGTGTGATGAACTGAATTATGTCCCCCTACAAATTCTTATGTTGAAGACCTAAACCCCTGTACCTCAGAATGTGACTATACTTGGAGAGAGGGCCTTTAAAGAGGTAAATAAGTTAAAATGAGGTCATTAGGGTGGGCCCTATCCAATATGACTGGTTTCTTTATAAAAAGGGGAGTTAGGACACACAGAAATAACAACGGCATGCATGCATAGAAAGATGACCATGTGAAGAGGCAGCAAGAGGGTGGCCATTTGCAAACCAAGGAGACAGGCCTCAGAAGAAACTAAATCTGCCAACACTTTGATCTTAGACTTGCTGAGAGATGTGATTGGGTCCCCCAATATTATCATAGAGCAAATGCTTCTTCTGTCACTCTGAAATGGGCTTTGTGGAAAGAGACATCCTCTTCTTTGTCTCTGCTGGTGACTCTCCTTGTGTGAATGCACTCCAGTGGTTGGCAGACCATCTGTGTGGTGGTTGTGGTGTCTAGTCGCTTTCATGGCAGCCATGGTTATTGTGGAGGCTGCAGTGGGCCACCCACATGGAGGTGCTGTTTTTGGTACGTTCCTTGGCACTGGCAGTATGCCTGGTTGTGGGGTGTGTATGGTCCCCTTCTCCATGCCTCTGGTCCCTGGGCAGGAGCCAACATGCTGGCGCCATGTGTCTGGTTGTGGGAGGTGTGTCTGGTCCCCTTCTCCATGCCTCGGGTCACTGGGTGAGACCCAAGGAGCTGGCTCAGTGTACCTGGTTGAGGGAGAGCAGTCTGGTCCCCTTCTCCATGCCCCAGGTCTCTGGGCAGGCCCTGAGGTGCTGGCGTAGCATGCCTGGTTGTGGGAGGAGGGTCCAGTCCCCTTCTCCATGCTCTGGGTCTGTGGGCAGGCCCCAAGGTGCTGGCATGGTGTGCCTGGTTGTGGAAAAAGGGTCCAGTCCCCAGCTCCATACCTCGGGTCACTGGGCAGGACCTGAGATGCTGGCTCAGTATGCCTGGTTGTGGGAGAGAGGTCCAGTCCCCTTCTCCATGCCTCAGGTCACCGGGTGGACCGTGAGGTGCTGGCTTGAGGTGCCTGGTTGTGGGAGAGAGGTCCAGTCCTCTTCTCCATGCCGCAGGTCCCTGGGTGGGCCCCAAGGCACTGGCATAGTGTGCCTGGCTGTGGGAGAGAGGGCTTGTCCCCTTCTCCATGCCTCAGGTCACCAGGCAGGCTGCAAGGGGCTGGCCTGGTATGCCTGGTTGTGGGAGAGAGGTCCGGTCCCCTTCTGCATGCTTTGGCACCCTGGGCAGGCCCTGAGGTGCTGGCATGGTGTGCCTGGTTGTGAGAGAGAGGTCTGGTCCCCTTCTCCATGCTCGCATCCCCGATTGGGCCCTGAGGCACTGGGGTTTTGTGTCTGGTTGTGGGAGAGAGGTCCAGTCCCCTTCTCCATGCTTCGAGACCCCAGGCGGGCCCTGAGGCACTGGCATGGTGTGCCTGGTTGTGAGAGGGGGTCCAGTCCCTTTCTACGGTTCCTTGGGTCCCCAGGCTGGCCCTGAGGCACTGGCCAAAGAAAATATACAAATAGCCAATGAGCACATAAAAAGATGCTCAGCATCATTTAGTCATTAGATGAATGCAAATCAGAACCACAGTAAACTATCACTTCACACCCATGTAATACCTGTAAATTTTTTTTTTTTTATACAGATGACCGGTAAGGGGATCTCAACCCTTGGCGTGGTGTTGTCAGCACCACACTCAGCCAGTGAGCAAACCAGCCATCCCTATATAGGATACGAACCCGTGGCCTTGGTGTTATCAGCACCACACTCTACCGAGTGAGCCACGGGCTGGCCCTACCTGTAAATTTTTTAAAAAGTAAAAATAACAAGTGCTGGCAAGCATAGGGAGAAATTGGAACTTTCATACATTCCCAGTAGGAATGTAAAATGTAAAATCAGAAATGCAAGGTACAACTCTTGAATGTTCTTTGTTTATTGTTGATTAAAAGGATACTAATCTGTAGGAGACAGATATAAAACTTGGATAATAAAATTTCATGGCTACTTTAAAAAATACAGATTAGTAAGTTGCATTTATAAGCAAATTTCATTTCACAATTTAAAAAAAGGGAATGTAAAACAGTACAACCACTGTAGAAAACAGTCTGGTCATTCCTCAAAAAGTTAAACATAGAGTTACCACGTGAACCATCAATTCCACTCCTAGATACATATCCAAGAGAATTAAAAGCATATGTTCACACAAAAACTTGTACATAAATTACAGTAGCATTCATGATAGCTAAAAAGTAGAAACAACCCAAATGTCCATCAACTGATGAATGGATAAATAAAATGTGGTATTAACCATAAAAAAAATGAAGTACTGATACATGGTACAACATGAATAAATCTTAAAAATTAAAAACATTATGCTAACTGAAAGCAGACAGACATACAACGGTACTTCACAAAGTTCACGGAAAGATTTGTATTATCTTTCAATTCTATTTTTCCACAAACTTTTTGAAGTACCTTTGTAAAGGGTCACACGATTCCATTCATATCAAATGTCCAGAATAGACAATCCACACAGACAAAAAGTACATTAGTGGTTGTCAGGGACTAGGGAGAGGAAGAAGATGGGGAATTACAGCGAAAGGGTGTGGGGTTTCTTTGGGGCGTGATAAAAAAGTTCTGAAATTAGATAGTGGTGATGGCTACACAACATTGTGAATATACTAAAAACCCACTGAATTGCACACTTTAAACTACTTTAGATGGTGAATTTTATGTCGATTAAAAAGAAAATTAGTCCAAAAAAAAAAAAAAAAAGGAAGCCAGAGAGTAGAATGAGCCCTAAAAGACTGCAGAAGAACAAAGAAGAGAGGTCTTCAGAAGGAAAAGGTTTAAAAAACTTGATTCTAGATGCAACTTGCTTTGGAACTCTTTCAGAAATAAGTAGCTAAAGATTTTTTTCAGTCTTATATCTACTAGTTATAGGACAGTAGATGATTTCTACATATATTCAAAAGAACACTTCACTTTACCAAAACTTTGAGTATATTTATATGATTGGAATTTAAAGCAAACTAGATAACTAGGTTATAATTAGCCTATATCTATGACTTAAGATGCATGAAAACTTGACTCAATGGATTTGACAGTTTTCTGCAAACACTGGATCATACTTTAAAGTCCTATAAAGTTCCTTCTAAACAAGATAACAAAAGTGCTTTAAATACTCACCTCTGTTGTTAATATTTGTGTTCATATTTGCCTTAGATGTCAGCCTTGCCAAGGTCTAAATAGGCACCTATGATATACCACACATAAAAGGATAATCTGCCATACATCAAATTTCACCAGCATACAATTCCCATCACTAATTTTCATTTAATGAACATTCACAAGCAATAACTAAAATCAGTGGGATGAGGGTTTGTCTTTTCCTTTCCCTAGAAAAGCAATACATGATCTTGCTGCAGTGCATTTGTTATACTAGAAAAATGCAGCACAGTCAAAGATAAAATCATTCTTGACTTCTGGCCCATTCTAAGCTCCCAGGACAAGCTGAAAGTCAAGAATGCTAGCCTTATAATTCAGCAATTACCATAGCAACAGTAGTCTTATTCAAAGAAAGGACAGTTCAGGCCTCTCAGCTTTTCATACACCTAAGACATGTGTACACTTATAAATGAATAACTCAGGCATTTCTGTGGTTCCAAATATAATGGAAGTATTTTAAAGCTTCCAGAATATGCAAATTCCTGCTGTGCTGAAATTAAGTTGAAATATGGGGATGGGAACAATTTCTAGCATCTACACAGCAAGCTGTATACAACAACAAATTGTAGCTCATAGGACAGGAAAAGGGAGTTTTTAACAAAAGAATTTTAG